TTGTATTTACCCTGCTTGAGGTTTTCTGAGCCTCTTGGGATCTATGGTTTGACATCTTCCATCGATTTTGAAAAATTCTCAGCTATTAGCTTTTTGCATGTCTATTTTTTCGCATTTTACTTGTCTCCTCGTTTCTGGGACTCCAGTCCCACATAGTTTAGAGCATTTATTATTATCTCAGGTCTCTAATCCTTGCTTTTGTTCTTTCCTTGTTTTTGGTTTATTTGTTCACTGCTACTTTTTTCTGTCTATGTTCTAGCTGGATAATTTCCACTGACCTGTCTCTGAGTTCACTGATGTTTCTTTCTTTTCTGTTACGCATATCCAGTGAATTCTTCATTTCAGATGTGATATTGTTTCATTCTAAGTTTTCTGTTTGGCCTTTTTTTAGTGTTGCATTTCTCTGCTGGGATTCCTCTTCATTTCCCCTGTTACCCTATTACGTCTTTATTTGCCTGTAATCTCTTGAACGTATTTACAATTTATTTTAAAATTGTCAGTTAATTCTACAGCCTGGGTCACCTGAAGGTCTCCTTCCCTTAATTTTTTTTTGGGGGGGGAGGTCACATTTTCTGCTTTTTCACACGTTTCATGATTTTTATTGTGCATATTATTAAATACAAATATTGTGTGCCAGACGTGGTGTATAAAAGAACCAAACCAAAAAAACTCGTTGCTGTTGAGTCGATTCCGACTTATAACGACCCTATGTATATAAAAGAACAGTAGAAACAAGAGTAAATAATAATAGTCCCCAAAAGGTCCCTTCTGCTCTGTCCGGCACCTAAGGCGAGGTTTGTTGGATTGGGTTGTGCTGGCCTGTAGCTTTATTTCATTTACATTCACTATTAATTTCAGATAGCACCAGGACTTTAGATTTAAGCACCATGAGAGAACAAGATCTCTTTCAGCTTTTCCTGCTCAGCCCCTAGCTTTCTGCACAGTGAAAAAGCTCAGTCTCTTCCTCCTTCTCTCTCCTTTTCAGCTCTTCCCCCAGCTTTTCACCAAATACTCAGTAAAAATCTTATGAAGGAGAGTTTACAGGCATTGAGTGCTGGCTCTGTGCTGGGGTCTTCTCGGGATTTCAGATCAGACCCCCCTCAGAGTCGTTAAAAGATCAGCTGGCCTCTCCTTGCTCCTGTAAAGTGCTCCCACCTGTGACGGGTCTGCTCCTCTACCCAGTGACTGCTACACGCCTCCTAGAAAGGGCTCATCCCTCTCTGGAATGTAGTTGAGACTTGCTCTGAGTCCTCAGCTATCTGGTGGGTTTTAAACAATATATGGTTTTATAGTTTATCCAGTACTTTCCTCCTTTCCAAAACATCTTCATCCTCCTGTATACTGATGTCACAAACTTCTGCATGCCCTGCTCTGAAATGCCCTTGACCCTGTTGAATCCAGTGTCCGGTTCATACCTCTCGTATGTGATGCCACAGCATCACCTGGCCCAGCTGACACATGGAAACGCTTGGTTCCTGTGGCTTCTGGAGACTCTCCTGACACCCCACCCCCTGGCCACTCCTTCTTGGTCCTGTGCTGACTCCTCTACTTCCAGGTAACCTCTAAGGATTGGTCTTCCCCAGGGGTTGGACTTGACCTCTTAATCCTCATCTCTTCTGTGACTTTCAAGACTCCCTGAGCACTGATAACTCCCAGATGCACATCTCTGGCCAGGCCTCTCCCGGACCCACACTTGTACGCCCAGCTGCCTGCACAATGTCACTAACAGACACTCCAAGCCCAGAGCAGAAACCTGCTGTGCCCACAGTCTCGCTGTCTCAGCTCACATCACATCAGCTGGGGCTTGAGCAGAGACTTTGGACCACCCTGACTCTCTGACACCCACAGCCAGTTTCCTCTTATCCTCCAGGCCTCTCCCCTTGGGTGGCATGGTCTCCTCCTAATTAGTCTCCCTGCAGAGTGCCCAGGTGGTCCTTTCACCTTCAGGGCCAGGTCGTGCCCTCCTCTGCCTCCTGGCCTCCCTCCATCCTGCTCACTGACCTCCTTGCTCTCTTCAGCTGCCTCGGGGCCTTTGCACTTGCTGTTCCCTCTGTCTGGCACCCTCTCCCATCACCTTCAAGTCTTCAACCAATGGGACCACCTCAGGGAGGCCTGCCCTGGCTGCCCTGTTTAAAATTACAGCCCACTCCAGCACTCTTGACCCTTCCCCCATGCTCGGATTCTCTTTCTTAGACAGTACAGGGCAGATTAGATTGTCAGCCTCCTCCCGCCAGTCTGCAGTGTGCGTGCCCGCCTTGTTCTCGCCTGTGTCCAGCTCCTGAAGTGGTGCCCGGCGTAGGTGGCGTGTAGTCAGGGCATCCTGGGGGTGTGGAGGTGTGCACACAGGAGGCCCCTTCCCCGGGGCGGCAGCCGGCCACGGCCCTTCCTTCTTCCAGCTCCTCTGGGGTTCTGCTCCTGGGCCCTATGTGTGACCAGCGTCGTGTGCCTGCCGGCCTGCAGTTTCAGGACAGTTCTAGCCAGATGCAGTACCTGCGGGGTGTCTTCTGCTTTGGGCTTTGGAAGGGCTGGCATGTCCCTCTCCTGTGCTGTAGGTGGCCCCAACTGGCTGTGGCCAGAAATCAGACGCCTGGTGGGAGGACCCTACAGTAGAGCCAGAGCAAAAGGGAGGCTGGGGTCGAGCTCACCCTCCCCGCAGCCAGCCCTCAGGTTGGGTCCCCCAGGACCCTGAGCCCAGGCGTGTGAGGGCCGTGTGGGCACTCACAGTGCCCTTCAGAGAGTGGGTCTGGCAGGATTTGTGAGCAGTAGGGGGCGATCTCGCACTTATATGAGGCACACGGTGGGTCTGGCCGCATCGTTCCTGAGGAGGGACATGGGGCAGTGGACAGTTCATCTGCGTGTGGCCGTGGTCAGACAGGTGGTATGAGCTGAGCACTGAGGGGGTGCTGCTCCCCGTCCTGGTCTGCTCTGAGCTGGGGACTGACGGGGTGCTGCTCCCCATCCTGGGCTGCTCTGAGCTGAGCTCTGAGGGGGCGCTGCTTCCCGTCCTGGTCTGCTCTGGGCTGAGCACTGA